CCCTCTCACATACAAACCATGCCCTCTGACCAAGCCCCGCCCACCTGCTCACCCACCCCAAGCCCCACCCCCTTTCTAAGCCCTAGCCCATCACTCCCAGCCCCACCCTCCTTCCCCCTTCGCCTTGCTCTCCTGCACCAAGCCCCGCCCCCCTGGACAAGCCCTGCCCCCCCATTCAGCCACCCCAAGCCCTGCCTTGAAGCCACGCCCCTCTGCCAAGCCACACCCCCTCTCCAAGCCCCTCCCTCCTTCCCCATTGCCCTGCTCTCCCCTGCCAAGCCCTGCCCATTCATCCACCCCAAGACTGATCCCCAAGCCCCGCCCCCTTTCCAAGCCCCGCCCCATCTCTCCCAGCCCCGCCCCTTCCCTCTTGCCCTGCTCTCCCCTTTCCAAGCCCCGCCCCCTTTCCAAGCCCCGCCCCATCTCCCAGCTCCACCCTCCTTCCCCCCTTGCCCTGCACTCCCCTCCCCCCCCCCCCCCCCCCCCCGGCCCAGCCCCGCCCCCGGTGGGCGGGTCTGAGGGCGGCCCCGCCCCCAGGCCAACTGCATCGACTCGACGGCGCCGGCGGAGGCCGTGTTTGCGGGGGAGGTGCGCAAGATGGCGGGGGAGCGGCTGCGGCCCCAGGAGCAGCTCACGCTGGAGCCCTACGAGAGGGACCACGCCGTGGTGGTGGGCGTCTACCGGTGCGACTGGGTGAAGCTAGGAGGGACCGGGACAGACTGGGAGGCGATGGGAAGGGATTGGGAGGCGATGGGAGGGAACTGGGAGGCGCGGGGCGTGGATCGGGTGAGGCTGGGAGGGACTGGGAAGGGGTTGGGAGGCGATGGGAGGGCATCGGGTGAGGCTGGGAGGGATGAGGGGGGCACTGGGAGGGGACTGGGTGAAGCTAGGAGGGACTGGGACAGACTGGGAGGCACTGGGGAGGGATTGGGAGGCGATGGGAGGGGATTGAGTGAGGCTGGGAGGGACTGGGACAGACTGGGCGGGGCTTGGATGGTGCTGGGAGGGGCTTGGAAGGTATGGGGCGGGGACTGGGAGGGGCTAAGGGGGACTGGGAGGGGCTAAGGGGGACTGGGAGGGGCTACATGGGGGTGTGTCTATAGGTGGCACTGGGAGGGCACTGGGATGAACTGGGCGGAGCCAAAGGGGGGGGTCACGTGACCGGTGTGCCCCTCCCCCTTGTCCCCAGGCCCCCCCCCAAACAGAAGTGATGCCTCTTCCCTTCAACCCCCCCACCTGCGGGGGGGGGGCGGATCCTGCCCGGGGGGGGGGGGGGAGTGGGCGGGGCTTCTGCCCCTCCCCCCCCCTCCCCCCTTCACTTTTGGGGCAAATTGTGGCGATTTTGGGGTTTTTTGTGGTTTTTTTTTGGGGGGAGGGAGGGCAGAAAGAGTGGGTTATTAAAATAAAGGGAAAAATACAGTTTGTGGTTGGGGGAGGTAATTAAATCTTGAAGGGGTTAATTAATCCCTGGGGGGTGGTAATTAATCCCCGGGGGGGTTAATTAATCTGGGGGGAGGGTAATTAATCCCTGGGGGAACAACTAGGGGGTTAATTAAGGGGCAATTAACCCCTGGGGGGGTGCGGGGGGGGGGGGTGTGGGTGGTGTTAATTAGTCCTGGGAGGGGGGATTAATTAGCCCATGGGGTGGGGGGTGGGGGGGGCAGAGGAAGAAGATTTATTAGCCCCTGGTGGGTTTAATTGGTCCCTGGGGGGGGTGTTAATTAGCCCTTGTGGAGTCAATTAGTCCCTGGTTGATGTTAATTAAGACCTTGGGGGTCAATTATTCCCAGGTTGTTAATTACTCTGGGAGGGCAGTTAATCCTTTGGGGGGGCTGTTAATTATCCCCTGGTGGGGATAATTAGCCCCTGGTGGGGTTAATTAGACTGTGAGAGGTGTTAATTACTCTGGGAAGGCAGTTAATGGAGGGGGGTGTTAATTAGCCGCTGGGGGGCGTTAATTAGCCCATGGGAGGGTTAATTAGCCCCTCTGGGTGGGTTAATTACCCCGGGGGGATGATGGGGGCGGGAGGAGCCTTCCCCTCGCCCGCCGCTGAGGGGCGGGGCAGAAGGGGGCGTGGTTTGGCGGCGCCCCACCCCTACCCGGAGCCGGGGGCGTGGCTACGCCGAAGGCCCCGCCTCCCCTCTGGGCGCCGGGAGGGGCGGGCGCACCGCCGTGATGGATGGGTGAGGATGGGCCGGAGCGGCACTCTGATTGGTCGGGCGCGCCCCGGCTCACTCGCCGCTGATTGGTGGAGGGCGGGGGGCGGGCGGCGCCTGCGCCCGCTGGCGGAGCGGCGGCGGCGGTTTGTTGTGGCCGCCATTTTCCCTGGGCATTACTGGGAAATTCGCCGCAGCTCCCGCTCCCGTTCCCGCCGCTTCCCGGCCCCGGCCCCGGCCCCGCCGCTCCCGCTCCCGGCCCCGCCGCCTCCGCCCAGCGCCGCCGCCGCCGCCGCAGGTGAGACCCTTTCCCGCCCCCCTTCCCCCCCCCCCCCCCCCCCTCCACGGTCCCCTCAGGGCCCGGCTGCGCCCTCAGGGCCCGAACCGGGGGAGGGGGGGGGGCAGGTACCGGCTCCCCCCGGGCTCCCAGTGCCCGGCACTGGCACCAGTATGGCCCTGCCAGCACCAGCACGGGCTCCTCAGGACCAGTACGGGCTCCTCAGGACCAGTATGGCCCTGCCAGCACCAGCACGGGCTCCTCAGGACCAGTATGGCCCTGCCAGCACCAGCACGGGCTCCTCAGGACCAGTACGAGCTCCTCAGGACCAGTATGGCCCTGCCAGCACCAGTACGGGCTCCTCAGGACCAGTATGGCCCTCCCAGTAACAGTGTGGGCTCCTCAGGACCCACATGGCCCTCCCAGTAACTGTGTGGGCTCCTCAGGACCAGTATGGCCCTGCCAGCACCAGTACGGGCTCCTTAGGACCAGTATGGTCCTCCCAGTACCAGTATGGGCTGCTCAGGGCCAGTATGGCCCTCCCAGTAACAGTGTGGGCTCCTCAGGTCCAGGTTGGCCCTCCCAGTAACAGTGTGGGCTCCTCAGGTCCAGGTTGGCCCTCCCAGTAACAGTGTGGGCTCCTCAGGTCCAGGTTGGCCCTCCCAGTACCAGTATGGGCTCCTCAGCACCAGTATGGGTTCCTCAGGACTGGTATGGTCCTCCCAGTAACAGTATGTCCCTCTCAGTACCAGTATGGGTTGCTCAGGACCAGTATGGGCTCCTCAGACTGGTATGGCCCTCCCAGTAACAGTATGGGCTCCTCAGCACCAGTATGGGTTCCTCAGGACCGGTATGGCCCTCCCAGTAACAGTATGGGCTCCTCAGACTGGTATGGCCCTCCCAATAACAGTATGGGCTCCTCAGCACCAGTATGGGTTCCTCAGGACCAGTATGGCCCTCCCGGTAACTCTATGGGTTCCTCAGAACCGGTATGGCCCTCCCAGAACCAGTATGGGTTGCTCAGGACCAGTATGGCCCTCCCGGCACCCATATGGGTTCCCCAGGATCAGTATGGCCCTCTCAGAACCAGTACAGATTGCTCCGGACCAGTATGGCCCTCCCATGACCGGTACAGACTTCCCGGGACCAGTATGGCCCTCCCCATACCAGTATGGATTTTTCAGAACCGGTATAGCTCTTCCCATTCCAGTAGGGACTCCTCAGCACCAGTATGACCATCCCAGTACAAACATGACCCTCCCCATCCCAGTATGGATTGCCTGGGACCAGTATGACCCAGTGCCATTATGGATTCCCCAAGACTGGCATGAGTCCCTGTATCAGTATGACCCTGCCACTACCAGTATCGATTCCCCAAGACCAGTATGACCCTCCCCATACCAGTATGGATCCCCCAGGACCATTATGATTCTCCCAGTACCAGTACATATTCCTCAGAACCAGTATGACCCAGTATCAGTATGGATCCTGTGGGACTAGTGTGACCCTCCCATTACCAGTAGGGATTCCCCAGTACCAGTCCGACCCTCCCAGTACCAGTAGGGATTCCTCAGGACCAGTATAACTCTCCCAGTACCACCATGGCTCTCTCAGTACCAGTATGGATCCCCCAGTTCTCCCAGTACAGGTGTGACCATCCGAGCACGACCATGCCTCTCCCCATACCAGTACGGATGTCCCAGTCCCACCCAGTACCAGTACAACCCTGCCAGTACTAGTGTGGGTCTCCCAGTTTTCCCAGTACAGGTATGTGCCCACCCCCCCCACTGGTTTGGGTCCCCCAGTACCGGTTGGACATTCCAGTCCTGGCCTTGTCCCTGTTCCTCCCAGTTCCAGTTTCCCCCCTCACCCCATCCCAGTCCTGTCCCCATTCCTCCCAGTCCCATCCCAGTTTCCTCCTCATCCCATCCCAGTGCTGTCCCAGTTTTCCCCTCATCCCATCCCAGTCCCATCCCAGTTTCTCCCCCCACAGTGTCCCAGTTGCCATCCCAGTTCCTTCCAGCTCCCCCCAGCTCCATCCAGCCCCATCCCAGTTTCCATTCCAGTTCCCCCAGCCCCATTCCAGTTCCCCCAGCCCCATCCCGGTTCCCCCAGCCCCATCCCAGTTTCCCCCCAGCCCCATCCCAATCCCCCTCCCCCTCCATACTGGGCCATACTGGTTTTCCCTGGGTCCTTCACCCCTTTTAATGCCTCGGTGGGGGGGTGTGTGGGGGGGTATTGCTGCTAATTACCCCCTGGAGGAGGGGGGGGGCCGGATTTGGGAGGGCAGCACCTGCCCTGTTCACTCTGGGCCCTACTGATGGCTCAGAAATGGCTCCCCCCAGGCACTGGGGGGTGGGGTGGGTGCTTGTTACGTTCACTCTGAACCCTACTGATGGTCAACAGCGACCATAGCTCCCTAGAGTGGGTTTGGGGGGTGGTTTTTTGAAGGGGGGGGTGTGTGGTATGCGTGTGTGTGTGTCCCCACAAACCCCCCCACCCCCAGTTTTTCCCCACAGGTGGCGGCAGCAGCGCAGGATGCCTGGGGCCGGCCTGGCCGGGGCGTTTGGCTCCGCTCTGAGCCCACCATGTCGGGTCAGCCCGGCCATGCCCCCTTCGCCAGCCTCCAGCCCATGGCCGAGCCCCCCCAGGTACCCCCAAAACGGGACAGGATGGGGGGGCACGGGCACCCCTGGGACCCCTGGAATGGGGATGGGGGGGGCACTAGGACCTCTTGGACTCCCGGGGGGGGGGACGGGACATGGACACCCCTGGGACCCCTGAAATGGGGTTGGGGGGGGGCACTAGGACCCCTCGGTTTCCCTGTGGGGGGGCACGTGGACACCCCTGGGACCCCTGAGATGGGGACGGGGGGCACTAGGGCCCCTCGGACTCACTGGGTGGGGGGGCACATGGACACCCCTGGGACCCCTGGAATGGGGATGGGGGAGGCACTAGGACCCCTTGGACTCCCTGGGAGGGGACATGAGGAACCCCTGAAGTGTGTGTGTATGTGTGGGGGGGCAATGGGACAGCCCCCCCCCCCAATAACTGTGACCCCACCCCCCCAGATCCTGCCAGAGCTGAGCCTGCTGCCGCGGCGCCTGCCCCCCCAATTTCGGGACGCGGGGAGCGCCCCCCTCCGCAAACTCTCCGTCGATCTCATCAAAACCTACAAACACATCAATGAGGTGGGGGGGGGGGCGGGGCATGGGAACCCCTACAGGCCCCCCCCCTCCCTCCATGTCAGCCCCCCCCAATCCCTCCCCAAGTCCCTCTCAACTGCCCCCCCCCCAATTCCTTCCCTTCCCCCTTAACCCCCCCACCCCAAACCCCCCTACTGACCCCCCCAAATCCCATGCCCCCCCCAGCATCTTAACCCCCCTCACACCTCTTCAATCCCCTAAACCCCCCCAAATCCCCTTTTAACCCTTCAAACCCCCCCAACCCCCCCAAATCCCCTTTTAAACCCTCACCCCCCCCCAAAACTCCCCCAAATCCCCTTTTAAACCCTCAATCCCCCCCAAAACTCCCCCAAATCCCCTTTTAAACCCTTCAAACCCCCCCAAATCCCCTTTTAAACACTCAAAACCCCCCTGAAATCCCCTTTTAACCCCCCAACTCACCCCCGAATCCCCTTTTAACCCCCTAACCCCTCCCAAATCCCCTTTTAACCCCCCGAAACCCCCCCAAATCTCCTTTTAACTTTTCAAACCCCCCCAAACCCCTTTTAAACTCTCAAAACCCCCCTAAAATCCCCTTTTAACCCCTCACCCCTCCCAAATCCCCTTTTAACCCCCCGAAACCCCCCCAAATCTCCTTTTAACCCCCAAATACCCCTCCAAATCCCCTTTTAACCCCCCAACCCCCTCCAAATCCCCTTTTAACCCTTCAAACCCCCCAAATCCGCTTTTAACCCCACAACCTCCCCCCAAATCCTCTTTTAACCCCTCCAACCCCACCCCAAATCCCCTTTTAACTCTCAACCCCCCCTGCCCGAAATCCCCTTTTAACCCTTCCAACCCCCTCCAAACCCCCCTTTAATCTTCCCCCCCCTCCTCCCCAAATTTCCGTGCCTCCCCCCCGCCCCCCAGGTGTACTACGCCAAGAAGAAGCGGCGGGCTCAGCAGGGCCCCCCCGACGCCGCCGGCACCAAGAAGGAGCGGCGCCTCTGCAACGAGGGCTACGACGACGACAACCACGACTACATCGTCCGCAGCGGCGAGCGCTGGCTCGACCGCTACGAGATCGACTCCCTCATCGGCAAAGGCTCCTTCGGACAGGTTGGGGGGGGGTCCCGGGGGGGGCTGGGACACACACACACACACACGCCCCCCCCCCCAAATTCAACCCGCTGCACCCCAAATCTCTTGGTTCCTTCCCGCTTCAGCCCTGGGGGTCCCAACGTGGAGCCCTGGCGTCTCTCAGAGCATTTTGGGGGGGCCCCTGATAGTTCTGGGGGGCCCCTGAGAGCCTTGGGGTCCCCAAATTCTCCCAGGGGGGTCCTCACTGCGCCCCAAATCTTTGTTTCCTTACAGGTTCAGCCCTGGGGATCCCCACATCAGCCCTGGGGTCTCTCAGAGCATTTTTGGGGTTTCTGTAACAATTATGGGGGGGCTCTGACGGTCTTGGGGTCCCCCCAGGTCACCTCAAGGTCCCCAAATTCTCCCAGGGGGGTCCCCGCTGCGCCCCAAATCTTTGTTTCCTTACAGGTTCAGCCCTGGGGTCCCCAAAGCATCCCTGGGGTCTCTCAGAGCATTTTGGGGGGGGACCCTAATAGTTCTGGGGGGCCCCTGAGAGTCTTCGGGTCCCCAAATTCTCCCAGGGGGGTCCTCACTGCGCCCCAAGTCTTTGTTTCCTTACAGGTTCAGACTTGGGGGTCCCCACATCAGCCCTGGGGTCTCTCAGAGCATTTTTGGGGTTTCCCTAACAATTTTGGGGGCCCCTGAGAGTCTTGGGGTCCCCCAGGTCACCTCAGGGTCCCCAAATTCTCCCAGGGGGTTCCCCGCTGTGCCCCAAGTCTCCGTTTCCTTACAAGTTCATCCCTGGGGTCCCCAAAGCATCCCTGGGGTCTCTCAGAGCATTTTGGGGGGGGGGCCCTGATAGTTCTGGGGTGCCTCTGAAGCTCTTGGTGTCCCCAGATTCTCCCGGGGGGTCCCCACTGCGCCCCAAATCTCTCTTTCCTTACAGGTTCAGCCCTGAAGTCTCTCAGAGCAGCCCCGGGGTCCCCAAAGCATCCCTGGGGTCTCTTGGGGCATTTTTGGGGTTCCCCTGAAAGTTTTGGGGGGCCCCCAACAGTTTTGGGGTCCCCCAGGTCACCTCAGGGGTCCCCAAACTGTCACCAGCACATTCCCCCTCCACCCCCAGTCCCCCAACTCCCTCCAATGCCCACAACTTTCAGGGTCCCCAACAACTTTTGGGGTCCCCCCCCCCGATTTTTGGCGCCCCCTCTCACTTTTGGGGTCCCCCCGGGGTCCCCCCAAATCCCTCCCCAGTCACCTCAGGGGTCCCCACCCCCTCCCCAGGACATCCCCCATCTCCTTCCAATTCCCCCCCATCCACTCTCAGGGGGTGTCCCCTGACATTTTGCAGGGTCCTCCCCATTTTTAGGGTCCCCTCCAGACTTTCAGGGCCCCCTCAACTTTTGGGGTCCCCCCAAATCCCTCCCCAATCACCTCAGGGGTCCCCACCCCCTCCCCAGGACATCCCCCATCTCCCTCCACTTCCCCCCTCTCCATTCTCGGGCCGCATCCCCCCACATTTCACAGGGTCCCCTCCACCTTTTATGCTCCCCCCTCAATTTTCGGGGGGTCCCCCCTCACTTTTGGGGTTCCCCCCCTCCCAGGTGGTGAAGGCTTACGACCACCAGGCCCAGGAGTGGGTGGCTATCAAGATCATCAAGAACAAAAAAGCGTTTCTGAACCAGGCGCAGATCGAGCTGCGGCTGCTCCAGCTGATGAACCAGCACCACACTGAGATGAAGTATTACATCGGTCAGTGGGGGGGGGGGGGGGGCACTTGGGGGGCTGGCCCCACAGTGGGGGGGGGGGGGGGGGGGACGGGACAGGGAGAAGGGCGGGTTTTGCTGCGGGGGAGGGATTTGGTGGGTAGATTGTGCTTCTAAGGAGGGGGGAGGGCAGATCTGAGCATGGGGTGGGATTTGGGGGGGGGGGGGAAGTTGTGGGGCAGATGCTGTTGGGGGGGGCAGTTGGGGGGTAGATTTTGCTGGGGGGGGTAGTTGTGTGAGGGGTTGTGGGGCTGATCCTGCTGGGGGGGGGCAGTTATGGGGTAGATCTTGCTAAGTGGGGGGCACTTGTGGGGCACGGAAATTCCAGGTGTCAGTGTGGGGCTGGGATTTGAAGGCGGTTGTGGTGTAGATCCTGCTGGTGGGGGGAAGTTATGGGTTAGATCTTGCTGGGGGGGCAGTTGTGGGGCTGATCCTGCTGGGGGGGGCAGTTATGGGGCAGAGAGATTCCAGATGTCATTGTGGGGCTGGCATTTGGGGGCTGTTGTGGGGCAGATATTGCTTGGGGGGGGGAGTAGTTGTGGGGCACTTATGGGGCAGTCGTGGGGCTGATCCTGCTGGGGGGGGGGCAGTTATGGGGCAGGGAGATTCCAGATGTCAGTGTGGGGCAGGGATTCGGGGGTGCTTATGGTGCAGATCCTGCTGGGGGGGCACTTACGGGGCAGTTATGGGGTAGATCTTGCTGGGGGGGGGGCACTTATGGGGCAGGGAGATTCCAAATCTTAGTGTGGAGCTGGGATTTAGGGGCAGTTGTGGGGCAGATCTTGCTCGAGGGGGGAAGATCCTTCAAGGTGGCTGGCAGTTATGGGGCAGGGACACTCCAAATCTCCCCACGGGGCCAGGATTTGGGGCCAATCCCACTGGGGGGGGGGGGGAGGGGGGTTGTCTCCCTAAACCCCGCCCCCCCAAAACAAACAAACAAACAACCCCCCAGTGCACCTCAAGCGCCATTTCATGTTCCGCAACCACCTCTGCTTGGCCTTCGAGCTCCTCTCCTACAACCTCTACGACCTCCTCCGCAACACCAACTTCCGTGGCGTCTCCCTCAACCTCACCCGCAAGTTCGCCCAGCAGCTCTGCGCCGCCCTCCTCTTCCTCGCCACCCCAGAGCTCCGCATCATCCACTGTGACCTCAAGCCCGAGAACATCCTCCTCTGCAACCCCAAGCGCTCCGCCGTCAAGATCGTCGACTTCGGCAGCTCCTGCCAGCTGGGCCAGAGGGTGAGGAAGGAGGGAGGGGACACGCCAGGGCCGCCTGCCCCCTCTGGCTCCGCCCACCGGGCCAGGAGGACCCGCCCCTGGGAGGTGGAGGCATTGCCAAAGGGGATTTAGGGCTGTAAAACCACAAAGCCCCGCCCCCTCGTGAGTTAAGCCCCACCCACACTTCAGAAAGACACACCCCTTGTCTCTAGCTCCACCCACCGGGTTAAGAAGTCCTGCCCCCAGGAGGTGGAGTCAATGCAAAAGGAGATTTTAGAGCTTTAAAACCACTAAGCCCCACCCGCGCGTGGGTTAAGCCCCACCCACACACGCTAAGGACACACCCCTTGTCTGTAGCTCCACCCACTAGGTTAGGAAGTCCCACCCCCGGGAGGTGGAGTCATTGCAGAAGCAGGTTTAGGGGTATAAAACCACTAACCCCGCCCCCTCGAGGGATAAGCCCCGCCCACACTTCAGAAAGACACACCCCTTGTCTCTAGCTCCATCCACTGGGTTAATAAGTCCCGCCCCCAGGAGGTGGAGTCAATGCAAAAGGAGATTTTAGGGCTTTAAAACCACTAAGCCCCACCCCCTCGTGGGTTAAGCCCCACCCACACTTCAGAAAGACACACCCCTTGTCTCTAGCTCCACCCACCGGGTTAAGAAGGCCCGCCCCCGGGAGGTGGAATCATTGAGGAAGCAGCTTCAGGGGTATAAAACCACTAAGCCCCGCCTCCTTGAATGATAAGCCCTGCCCACACACCCTAAGGACACACCCCTTGTCTCTAGCTCCACCCACTAGGTTAGGAAGTCCCGCCCCCAGGAGGTGGAGTCATTGCGGAAGCAGGTTTAGGGGTATAAAACCACTAACCCCGCCCCCTCGAGGGATAAGCCCTGCCCACACACTCTAAGGACACACCCCCTGCCTGGGCTCTGCCTATCAAGGTGAGAAGTCCCGCCCCCAGGAGGTGGAGGCATTGCAAATGGGATTTAGGGCTCTAAAATCACTAAGCCCCGCCCCCTTGAGGGATCAGCTCCACCCACACACCATAAGGACACACCCCCGTCTCTAGCTCCACCCACTGGGTTAGTAAGTCCCGCCCCCAGGAGGTGGAGTCATTGCTGAAGTGGGTTTAGGGGTATAAAACCACTAAGCCCCGCCCCCTTGAGGGATAAGCCCCGCCCAGACCTCATAGGGACACACCCCCCTGGCTTGTCTCCACCTACAAGGGTGGGAAGTCCCGCCCCCAGGAGGTGGAGTCATTGCTCAAGGTGGTTATAGGGCTATAAACCCACTAAGCTCCGCCCACTTTAGGTATAAGCCCCGCCCACACACTTCCATGACACAGCCCCTGTCTTGGCTCCACCCACCGGGATGGGAAGTCCCACCCCCAGGAGGCTGAGCCCCGCCCCATGTACATTGGGGGGGGCAGTGGGGTGTGCTAAGCCCCGCCCACCTGGAGGGCTAAGCTCCAGCCCCTGAATCTCTAAGCCCCGCCCCAACACTGTGAAGACATTCCCCCTGCTGTGGCCCCGCCCCCTCCTCTCCCAGCTCCTCTGGGTGGGTGGGTGAGCCCCGCCCACTTCACACCAAGCCCCGCCCTCTTTGGAGTAGCCACGCCCTCTGAGGCACTCACCCCTCGCCTGTTTAAAGAGACAGACCCCCCTTTTCCTCCCGAAGGGGCTCTTTTATCGCTAAGCCCCGCCTCTGGGTGGCTTGGCCCCGCCCTCCCGGCACGGCCCCGCCCCCCATCATGACCCCGCCCCCTCCCCAGATCTACCAGTACATCCAGAGCCGCTTTTACCGGTCCCCGGAGGTGCTGCTGGGGCTGCCCTACGACCTGGCCATCGACATGTGGTCCCTGGGCTGCATCCTGGTGGAGATGCACACGGGCGAGCCGCTCTTCAGCGGCGCCAACGAGGTGGGCGGGGCTTGCGGGCGAGGGGGCGGGGCCTCCTGGGGGCGAAGGGGCGGGGCATGGGGAGAGGGTGGGGCTTGGAGTGAGGGTGGGGCTGGGAGCGGGGTCAGAGCTTGGGGGGATGCACACGGGCGAGCTGCTCGCCTGCAGTGTTAATGAGGTGGGCGGGGCTTGGGGGATAAGGGGCGTGGTCTCGGGGCAGGGCTTTGAGGGGAAGGCGGGGCTTGGGGCGGGGTCAGAATTTGGGGGGGTACACAACGATGAGCTGCTCTGCAGCAGCGCTAATGAGGTGGGCGGGGCTTGGGATTGAAGGGGCGTGGCCTCCTGGGTGAGGTGGCAGGCCCTTGGGTGTGGGTGGGGTGGGCGGGGCTTGGGGCAATGGGAGGTGGGGTCTGACCTTATTACTGGGGAGCTGGTCTTCATTAGTGCCCAGGGGGTGGGCGGAGCTTGGGGTGAGGGGGCGTGGCCATGCCCTGTGGAGATGCAGGTTGTGGCGGCTCTTTCACTTCTCCGTGGAGGTGGGCGGGGCCTCACTGGAAAGGGGCGGAGCTATGAGTGCAGGGGGTGTGGTCTCACTGCTTGAGGGGTGGGGCTAAGAGTGGGCGGGGCTTTGCCTGGATTGGCAGGACCAGCCCCCGGGTGGCCTTGTGGACCCAGGGGACACCCCAAGGGGGTTGCGGTGGCCTTGGGGACACCCCCGAGAGGGACGGGGTGGCCTTGGGGACCCTGGGGATGTCCCTGGTAGGGCTGAGGTGGCCTTGGGGACATCAAGGAATGTCCTGAGGGAGGCAGAGGTGGCCTTGGGGACCCCAGAGACCTCTCTGAGAAGGTCGGGGTGGCCTTTAGTGACAGACTTGTCAGCGCTGAGGTGGCTTTGGGGACATCAGCGATGTCCTGAGCAGCACCGAGGTGGCCTTGGGGATCTTAAAAATGTCCTGGACGGGACCAAGGTGGCCTTGGGGACCTCAGAGATATCCTGGACAGGGCCGAGGTAGCCTTGGGGACATCAGGGATGTCCTCACAAGGCCAAGGTGGCCTTGGGGACATCAGGGGTGTCTTTGGAAGGGTTGAGGTGGCCTTGGGGACCTCAGAAATGTCCTGGGAAGGGCCGAGGTGGCCTTGGGGACATCAAGGATGTGTTTGGAAGAGTTGAGGTGGCTTTGGGGACCTCAAAAATGTCCTGGATAGGAACAAGGTGGCCTTGGGGACCTCAAAAATGTTCTGGACAGGACCAAGGTGGCCTTGGGGACATCAAAGATGTGTTTGGAAGAGTTGAGGTGGCCTTGGGGACCTCAAAAATGTCTTGGACAGGGCTGAGGTGGCCTTGCGGACATCAAGGATGTCTTTGGAAGGGTTGAGGTGGCTTTGGGGACCTCTGGGATGTCCTGGGCAGTGTTGAGGTGGCCTTGGAGACTTCAGGGACATCCCAGGTGGCCTTGGGGACATCGTTGTCCTCGAGCCACCTTGGAGAACCACCACAGTGCCACCAAGGCTGCCACATCCCCCCTTTTCCTCTCCCCCACTTCTCTTGGGTGACCTTGGGGGACACCACGGGCGTCATCACCGGTGGGGTGGGCGGGGCCACGGGGACAGCAGTGACGTGTGTGTGTGTCCCCTCCCCCCTGCCCCCGTGTCCCCAGGCCGACCAGATGAACCGGATCGTGGAGGTGCTGGGGCTTCCCCCCCCACACATGCTGGAACAGGCCCCCAAAGCCCGCAAGTACTTCGAGAAGCTGCCAGAGGGGGGGTGGGCCCTCAAGAGGAACAAGGAGAGCAAGAAGGTGAGCAGGAACCTCCCAGTATGGACCAGTAGGCCCTTCAGAACCTCCCAGTGTGGCCCAGGAGATCTTCAGAACCTCCCAGGTTCCACCTAGTTGCTCCCTGGTGCTTCCCAAGATGTCTTAGTGGCTCTGGACTGTATCCCAGTATGGCCCAGTGGCCCTTTAGGGACTCTCAGTATGGCCCAGTAGCCCTTTAGCAACTCCCAGGGGCCCCCCAAACCCCTCTGATCACCTCCCAAAGACCCCCAAACCCATCAGATCCCCCCAAGGACCCCAAAACCCCTCAGATCTCCTCCCAAGGACCCCAAAACTTCATCAGATGTTCCCCAAAACGCATCAGATGCCCCCAAAGACCCCGAAACTCCTCAGATCTCCACCCAAGGACCCCAGAACTTCATCAGATGTTCCCCAAAACGCATCAGATGCCCCCAAAGACCCCGAAACTCCTCAGATCTCCACCCAGGGACCCCAGAACTTCATCACATGTCCCCCCCAAACCCATCAGATGACCCCAAAACTCCTCAGATCTCTACCCAAGGACCCCAGAACTTCATCAGATGTTCCCCAAAACCCATCAGATGCCCCGAAGGACCCCAAAACTCCTCAGATCTCCTCCCAAGGACCCAAGAACTTCATCAGATGTTCCCCAAAACCCATCAGATACCCCCAAAGACCCCAAAACTCCTCAGATCTCAACCCCAGGACCCCAAAACTCGATCAGATGTTCCCCAAAACCCATCAGATGCCCTCAAGGACCCTGAAATTCCTCAGATCTCCAACCAAGGACCCCAAAACTCGATCAGATGTCCCCCCCCCAAACCCGTCAGATGCCCCCCAAAGGAGACCCCAAACCCCTGCAAATCTCCCCCCTCCCCGCCCCACCTCCTGTCCCCTCCCCAGGAGTACAAGGTGCCGGGGACGCGACGTCTCCACGAGGTGCTGGGGGTGGAGAGCGGTGGCCCGGGCGGGCGCCGGGCGGGGGAGCAAGGCCACGCCCCCTCGGACTACCTGAAATTCAAGGACTTGGTCTTACGGATGTTGGACTACGAACCCCGGAGTCGCATCACCCCCTTTTACGCTCTCCAACACAACTTCTTCAAGAAGACCAACGATGAAGGTACCAACACCAGCAACAGCACCTCCACCAGCCCGGCCATGGAGCACAGCCACAGCACCAGTACGACCAGTTCCATCTCCAGTTCGGGTAGGGAACCCGACCCCCACCCCTCCTGCACTTTCGGGGTGGTGGGATTTGAGGGCTTTGGGCTTGTGGGGCGGCGCGGTGGGCTAGTGACGTGCTCAGGTGGGGTTGGTGATAGTCTAGAGCCAGCGTTGGGCCTCCTGGTTCCATGTTCTGGGTGATGGCTCCTTGGGCCACCACCAGATGACCACCAGGGTCATTTGTCCCCTCCCTGTCCCACCAGGCTCCAGATGGTGGCTCTCCAGGCTACCATGAGCTTCTGGTCATCTCCTGTCTCCATCCCTGTCCCACCAGGCTCCATGTCCTGCTGGATGGTGGCTCCCAAGACCACCACAAATTCCTCATCCTCTTCCATCCCCATCCTTGTCCCACCAGGCTCCATGTCCTGCTGGATGGTGGCTCTCCAGGCCACCATGAGCTCCTGGTCATCTCCTGTCCCCATCCCTGTTCCACCAGGCTCCATGTCCTTCTGGATGGTGGCTTCCAAGGCCACCATGAGCTTGTCATCCTTTCCCATCTCCATCCCTGTTCCACCAGGTCCCATGTCCTGCTGGATGGTGGCTCTTCAGGCCACCACAAGTTCCTCATCCTCTTCCATCCCTGTCCCTGTCCCACCAGGCTCCATGTCCTGCTGAATGGTGGCTTCCAAGGCCACCATGAGCTTGTCATCCTTTCCCATCTCCATCCCTGTTCCACCAGGCTCCATGTCCTGCTGGATGGTGGCTTCTAAGGACACCGTGAGCTTGTCATCCTCTTCCATCCCTGTCTCACCAGGCTCCATGTCCTGCTGGATGGTGGCTTCCAAGGCCACCATGAGCTTGTCATCCTTTCCCATCTCCATCCCTGTCCCACCAGGCTCCATGTCCTGCTGGACGGTGGCTCTCCAGGCCACCACAACCTCCTGATCATCTCCCATCTCCATCCCTGTCCCACCACCCTCCGTGTCCGGCTGGATGGTGACATCTCCCCAGGCCACCCCATCCCCTCGGGGACCTCCCCGTCCCGTGCCACCGCCGCTGATGTCCCCCCGTTGTGTCCCCCCCCCCCCCTCCCCCCCGCAGGTGGCTCCAGCGGCTCCTCCAACGACAACCGGAGCTACCGCTACAGCAGCCGCTACTACGGGAGCGCGGCCGCCCCGCACGGCGACTGCGAGATGCAGAGCCCCCAGGTACCGCCGGGGACACCCGGGGGTGGCCCCACCCCACCCCGGGGACACCCCGCTGCCGGGCGGGTGGGTGATGGGGACCTTGGGGACAGCCTGGTCACGGTGGGTGGGAGACATTGGACCTTGGGGACCTTAGGAACCCCTCTGGTGACACCTGGGAGGGTGACATGGACCTTGGGGACATCCTGGTCACGGTGGGTGGGAGGACATGGACCTTGAGGACCCTTGGGATCCCTCTGGTGACACCAGGAGGGTGACATGGACCTTGGGGACATCCTGGTGACACCAGGAGGGTGACATGGACCTTGGGGACCCTTGGGACCCTTCTAGTGACACCAGGAGGGTGACATGGACCTTGGTGATGGCCTGGTCACAGTGGGTGGGTGACGTGGACTTTGGGGACCCGTGGGATCCCTCTGGTGACACTAGGAGGGTGACATGGACCTTGGGGACCTTAGGAACCCCTCTGGTGACACCGGGAGGGTGACATGGACCTTGGGGACCTCCTGGTGACACCAGGAGGGTGACATGGACCTTGGGGACCTTAGGAACCCCTCTGGTGACACTGGGAGGGTGACACGGACCTTGAGGACCCTTGTGACCCTTCTAGTGACACCAGAAGGGTGACATGGAACTTGGGAAAAGTTGTGGTGACACCAGGAGGGTGACATGGGCCATGGGGACATCCTGGTCACAGTGGGTGGGTGACATGGAGCTTGGGGAGAGCTTGGTCACCAGTGGGGGGGTGACATGGACCTTGGGGACCTTTGGGCTCCCTCTGGTGACACCAGGAGGGTGACGGGGACCTTGGGGACCTCATGGCATTAAGGTGGGGACCCTGGAGACCCCATAGCCACATGTCACCTACCCAGGCCACCCTGGGGACCGTGTGGCCACAAGGTGGTGACCTTGGGGACACCATGGCCTCAAGGTGGGGACATTGAGGACCTCATGACCTCGAGGTGGGCACCTTGGGGACCCCGTGGCCATCACGTGGGGGTCTTGGGGACCCCATAACCACGTGCCACCCACCCCAAAATATTTTGGGGACCCCTTGACCATGACTTTGGCATCTTGGGGACCCCGTGGCCATGACGTGGGGACCTTGGGGACCCCATAACCACGTGCCACCCCCCCAAAATATTTTGGGGACCCCTTAACCATGAGTTTGGCATCTTGGGGACACTGTGGCTTTGACTTGGGGACCTTGGGGACCCCATAACCACATGCCACCCTTCCTCAAAATATTTTGGGGACCCCTTGACCATGACTTTGGCATCTTGGGGACCCCGTGGCCATGACGTGGGGACCTTGGGGACCCCATAACCACGTGCCACCCCCCCAAAATATTTTGGGGACCCCTTAACCATGAGTTTGGCATCTTGGGGACACTGTGGCTTTGACTTGTGGACCCTGGGGACCCCATAACCACATGCCACCCTCCCCCAAAATATTTTGGGGACCCGTTGACCATGACTTTGGCATCTTGGCGACCCCATGACCACGAGGTGGGCACCTTGGGGACCCCTTGACCATGACTTGGGGGCCTTGGGGACCCCGTGGCCATGACATGGGGAATTTGGGGCCCCTTAACCACGTGCCACCCCCCCCGAAATATTTTGGGGACCCCTTGACCATGACTTTGGGATCTTGGCGACCCCGTGGCCATGACGTGGGGAATTTGTGGACCCCATAACCATGTGCCATCCCCCCAAAATATTTTGGGGACCCCTTAACCATGACTTGGGGACTTTGGGGACCCCGTGGCCATGACGTGGGGACTTTGAGGACCCCATAACCACCTGCCACCCCCCTCAAAATATTTTGGGGACCCCTTGACCATGACTTTGTCATCTTGGGGACCCCATGACCACGAGGTGGGCACCTTGGGGACCCCGTATCCATGACTTTGGGATCTTGGGGACACTGTATCCATGACGTGGGGACCTCGGGGACCCCATAACCACGTACCACCCCCCCGAAATATTTTTGGGGACCCCTCAGCACCTTGGGGGACCCCATGACCACGAGGTGGGCACCTTGGGGACACCCTTGACCATGACTTTGGGATCTTGGGGACCCCGTGGCCATGACGTGGGGACCTTGGGGCCCCCATAACCACATACCACCCCCCCCGAAATATTTTGGGGACCCCATGAGAAGTTGGGGGGACCACCCCTTTGCTCTAACCCCCCCCTCTCTCTCTCTCTCTCTCTCTCTCTCTCCCCCCAGGCCCCCCCAGCGCAACCGCCCCGACCTTGGCCCGGGGGGGACCCGGCCGCACCCCCCGCCTGCACCGACGCCTTCACCCCTTTGGGACCCCCCAAGCCCCCCCAGATCTTACCTGGGGGGGGAGGAGGAGGAGGAGGAGCCCCCCCCCCTTTCCCACGCCCCCCCCCGGCCCCCCACCCCTCCCAGCACCACCAGCACCACCAGCAGCACCAGCACCACCCGCCGGGGCCCCCCCTTTCTCTCCCTGGGGGGGGCTCTTTAAGCGAGCGGATGATGGATTTGGGGGGGCCCCCCCCGCCTCCTCCGCCGCCCCCCCCCCCGCCGCCACCTCCGTTGCCCCCCCCTCCTCCTCCTCCTCCTCCTCCTCCCCCCCCACCCCGCCACCACCCGGACTGTCACCCCTTTGCCCCCACAATTTTCCGGACTCGAGGGGGGGTCACCGGTTTTGGGGGGGGGCGGGGGGGGGGGGCGAGACGACGCACGGCACCACCGCGGCGGCGGGGGGGGGGAGCACACACCCCCACCATCCCCCCCCCCCTCCCCACCACCCCCACCGCCGCCACCATGACAACAGGGGGGGCGGGGGGGGGGCAGCACCCCCCTTACGGGGGTCCCCATTTCCGGGGGCGCCCCGAGCACGAGGACTCGGCCATTTTGGGGGGGGGCGTCCCCCAAAGTACGGCCGCCAGCTCTTGACAAACCCCTCCCTCCCCCCCCCCCCTTTTTTATTTTTTCAACCCCCCCCCAGCGGCGCTTTATTATTATTATTATTATTGTTATTAATTATTATTAATTATTATTAGAGGAGGGGGGGGCGGTAGGAGATGCACAAACTGGCAGCTCGGGGCGGGGGGGGCACCCACTTATTTTGGGGGGCGGGGGGAGGAGCACCCACTCCTTTCCGGGGGGGGTGAGCACCTATTTTGAGGGGGGGGGCACCCACTCCTTTTTTGGGGGGGGGGTGGGGGCAACCACCCATTCTGGGGGTGCACCCACTTATTTGGGGGGGGGGGCACCCATAATTTTGGGGGGGGGTGTCACCCACTCCCCTTCCTTATTTTTCTCAGCACCTCCCCCCCCCCCCCAAGCTCTCTGTGGGGGCACCCACGGGGGGGGGGGACACCCACGGCGGGGGGGGCTGTGCCCCCCCTCCTCCCCGTCTGTTTTTGTCTAATTCATTGTACCAAAGACGGTGCCCCCCCCCCCGCCACCCATGGGTGCACCCCCCCCAACCCCCCCCCCATGGGTGCTGCCCCCCCCCCCCGCCCCGTGGGGGCGTGTCCCTGGGTGGGGCCGGTGAATAAACTGGTGACAGCAGCACCCGCGGGTCCCCTCACTGCTCCGGCCATAGGGGGTGGCTATAGGGGCCGGGGGGTGCTATAGGGGCTGGGGGGGGCTCTGTAGGGGGTGTAGGGACTTGGCGGCTCTATAGGGGCTGGGGGGCTATATGGACCAGGGGGCTTTATAGGGTATAGGGGGGCTATAGGGTATAGGGGGGCTATAGGGACTGGGCGGGCTCTATAGGGTATAGGGGGGGCTATAGGGACTGGGGGGGCTCTGTAGGTTATAGGGGGGTATAGGGACCGGGGGGGCTTTATACATTATAGGGGGCTATAGGGACTGGGGGGGCTCTATAGGGTATAGGGGGGCTGCAGGGACTGGGAAGCTTTATACAGTAGAGGAGGGTATAGGGACTTGGGGGGGCTTTAGAGGGTATAGGGGGCTATAGGGACTGGGGGGGCTTTAGAGGGCTATAGAGACTGGAGTCTCTATAGGATATGGAGAGGCTATAGGGATTGGGGGGCACTACAGAGTATGGAGGAGCTATATGGATTCAGGGGCTCTATAGGGTATAGGGACTTGTGGGCTTTATAGGAGCTGGGGGCTATAGGGACCAGGGGGGCTTTATATTGTGTAGGGGGGTATAGGGACTGGGGGGCTATGTAGGGTATAGGGGATATAGGGACCAGGAGGCTTTATATAGTAGAGGGGGCTATAGGGACTCAGGGGCTCTATAGGGACAGGGGAGCTTTATACAGTATAGGAGGCTATAGGGACTAGGGGGGCTCTATAGTGTATAGGGGGATATAGAGACCAGGAGGGCTTTATATAGGAGGATATAGGGACTGAGGGGCTCTATAGGGTCTGGGGAATGCTATAGGGACTGGGGGGCTCTATACAGTATCGAGAGCTATAGGGACTGAGGGGTTTATAGGGTATAGGGGGCTATAGGGGCTGGGGGGGCTCTATAGGTTATAGTGGGCTAAAGGGACCATGGGAGCTTTATACAGTGTAGGAGGCTATAGGTACCAGGGGGGCTCTATAGGGTATAGGGGGGTATAGGGACCATGGGGCTTTATACAGTACAGAGGGGTATAGGGACTGGGGGGCTCTATAGGGTATGGGGGGGCTATAGGGACCACTGGGCTTTATACAGTATAGGAGTCTATAGGTACCAGAGAGGCTTTATAGGGTATAGGGGGCTATAGGGACCGAGAGGCTTTATACAGTATAGGCAGCAGGGGGGCTTTATATCCTATAGGGGACTGTAGGGATTGCGGGGCTCTATAGGGTATAGGGAGGGTATAGGGACCAGGGGGGGATCTATAGGAATGGGCGGTTATAGGTACCGGGGGGGGCTCTATAGGGTAAAGCTGGAATATAGGGATTGAGGGGGGGCTTTATATGGTATAGGTTATAGGGGCTGGGGGGGCTCTATAGGGTACAGGTGGGTATAGGGACCAGGGGGGTCTCGACAGTGTATAGGGGGGTAAGAGGCACGGGTAGTATAGGGACCAAGGGGATCTATAGGGTATAGGGGCTTCAGGGGGGCTCTATATAGAGTATAGGGACTAGGGGGGCACTATAGGGCATGGGGGGGTATATGGACTGGGAGGAACCCTATAGAGTATGGGGGAGCTATAGGGCCGGGGGGGGGGCAGGGTTGCTATAGGTACAGGGCCTGGAGAGGGGTCCCTATAGGGTATATAGGGGAGCTGTGGGGATGGGAGAGGGACCCTGTAGGATATAGGGAGCTATAGGGTTGGAGGGGTCCCTGTAGGGTCAGGGGGACCTGTAGGGGTTGGGGGGGGACACACCCTATAGGGAATAGGGGAGCTATAGGAACTGGGGTAGCTGGGAGAGCTATAGGGACCATGTAGGGTCAGGTGGGGCTATAGGGGGGCTGGGAGGGACTCGACAGGGTATAGGGGAGCTATAGGGACTGGGCGGGGAGGGGGGAAAACACTCTAGTGTATGGGAAAACTATAGGGGCCAGGGAGGGGGCACATCCTATAGCATATGTGGGCCCTATAGGACCTTTAATAGCTTCAGAGGGAGCTGTAGGGACTAACGGGGGGACCCTATAGGATTGAGGGGAGCTATAGGGACCAGATAGGCCTTTTATAGGGGTGGGGGGAGCTGTAGGGACTAGAGGGGGATCCTATAGGAGACCTATAGGGCCTGGGGGGATGACACGCTCACAGTTCTGTAGGGGCCGGGGGAACCCCATAGTGTATAGGGGACCTATAGGGTTGGGGGGGACCGTCTGTAGGGCCGGGGGGAGCTACATATGGGCTGGGGCAGACTACAGGGTGTAGTGAGTCCATAGGGAGCCCAATCTATAGGGACCCTGGGGGAGCTGTGGGGACTAGATGGGAGGGAAAGACACTATAGTGTATGGGGAAGCTATAGGAACAGGACCTTTCACAGGGTTGTGGGAGCTATAGGGACTAGGGAGGACCCTATAGGTTATAGGGGAGCTATAGGGTTGGAGGGAGCATGTATAGAATGGAGGAGAGGTACAGGGAGCAGGGGCACCCTATAGAATATAGGGGAGCTATAGGGACTGGGGTGACCATGTAGGGCCTGGGGGAGCTGTAGGGACTGGGGAGCTCTCTATAGGGTCAGGGGGAGCTATAGGGATGTCCCTATAGGGTGTAGAGGAGCTGTAGGGATGGGGGAGAGACCCTATAGGGGAGCTATAGGGACAGGGTTGTTGGGGGAGGGGTTGGTGGGGTACCCTATAGGGTATGGGGATACTATAGGGGTTTAGGGAGACCCTATAGGGTATAAGGGAGCTATAGGGAGCAGGGGGATCCTATAGGGTCAGGGAGAGTTATAGGGGCTGGGGGGACCATATGGGCTTGGGGGGTGCTATAGGAGCTTGGGTGGAGGGGTCTGTATAGGGTATCTATAGGGACTGCTGGGACCCTATAGGGTCAGGGGGAGCCATAGGGACTGGTGGGACTATAGGGTCAGGGAGAGTGATAGGGGCTGGGGGACCATATAGAGAATGGGGGTACCCTATAAGGTGGGGGAGAGGTATAGGGGCTGAGGGGGACAATATAGGGTCAAGGGGACCTATAGGGCCTGGGGGAGTATAGGGGATGGAGGGGACCCTAGAAGTTATGAGGGAGGACCCTATAGAATAAGGGGGATCCATAGGGTCTGGGGGACCCTGTAATAGGGTCAAGGAAGCTGTAGGGACTATATGGATCATATAGAGCCTGGGGCTGCCATAGGGACTATGCTGACCATATAGGGACTAGGGGGGAGACCCTTTAGAGTTAGGGGGAGCTATAGGGGTTGTAGACACTCTATAGGGTCAGGGGGAGCTATAGGGGCTGGGGGGAGGACATGGACCCTATAGGGTGAGGAGGAGCCGAGGGAGTGGTGTGACCTGGGGGGTGCTATAGGTGCCGGGGAGCCGTAGAGGGGCTGTGTCACACAGTGGCTCTGGGAGGGGGTGGTATATACCACTCTATAGGGGCCATATAGGGGCAGGGGGGCCCCTATTGAGGCTGGTTTCCCATCCCCCATAGTGAGGGACTTATGGCTCCTGGGGGGGATGTATAGGACCCTGGAGCAGCTATAGGTGTGGGGGAGGGTCCTATAGGGGGTGGGTCCCCCCCTGCCACATGCCTGCTGGACCATATAGGGCCTGGGGGGGGCTCTGTAGGGCCTGGTACCCGCCTTGGTGGGGTCTATAGAATGTCCAGGGGTGGGTATAGAAGCCACTATAGTGCCTGGGAGTCCCTATAGCTCCAGGAGGTCCCTAGGGCACCTGGGGGTCCCTATAGGGCCTGGGAGGAGCCCCTATAACATCTGGGGGTGTCTATACAGTCCTGGGGGCTCTCTATAGATCCCAGGAGCCCCTATAGCCCCTATAGAGTCCAGTGTTATCTCTAAATACTTACGGGGACCCCCCCTATAGCCTCCCCAGGGCCCCTAAATATGCCCTGGAAGCCCCTATAGAACCTCAGGTACCACCTATAGACCAAGCAGGGCCCCTAAATACCCTCGGGGGATCCCCTATAGCCCCAGCAGGACCCCTAAATAACCCCTGGCACCTCCTATAGCTCCCACAGGGCCCCTAAAGAACCTTCAGGGACCCCCAAAGAACCTTCAGGGACCCCCCTATAGACCCCCAGAGCTCCTAAATACTCATTGAGAACCCCTATAGACACCTCAGGCCTCCTAAATACCCTCCAGAATCCCCTATAGATCCCCCAGAGCCCCTAAATACCCCCCTGTGCCCCCTATAGCCCCACCCACCCAAGCCCCTAAATAGCCCCTGGGACTCCCTGGAGACCCTAAAAAACCTCAGAGACCCCCTACGGCCCCTAAATACCCCCTATAGCCCCATATAGCCCCCCAGGGCCCCTAAATGCCCCCCTTGGACCCCTATAGAATTT